TTATCCATATTTTCTATACGATATTTTTAATGAAGCAGGAGCACCTACTCCAGCCTTATTGATTGTTTTTAGAGTTGTTTTTCATATAGAATTTTTGATAATAGCTAGCTTGTTTGTAATAATTGTATTAGCAAATGTTTTAAACATAGGAAAGTTGTATCTGTCGCAGTTGAAGACAGAGACATGGAAAAAGAAAGCTACAGTGACAGTCGGGATAATATCAGTTATCTACTGTCTTTGTAACATCGGATTTGTTATTCAGTTCATTATGCCCTGTTACTCTCTAACAAGCTATTTTGCAATTCCTGATGAAGTAATAGAAGTTTCAAACCACATCCTACTTCCATTGAACTCTGCATGTAACCCTGTAGTATACTTCTACAGGAAAAAGGACATGAAAGCACACATTAAAGAGTTGTGGGGTAAATTCATAGCGTTATCTTTGTGCAAAAAAGAGAAAGATAAGAACACAGTTGAATCGTGTTCATTCAAGTCACGATCAGGCGCTAAATCTTTAACATCAAGATAGAGGACAACTAAGAGAAAATCGCAAACAATTCAGCTTTGTGAAACTGTGAAAGTTAGAATAAGAGAAGAATGCGCAGACAGAGATTGCTAAATTATCTTTAGAATCATTTGGTATTGATAGCATTGCTTTTAAATGAGAGATTATGTTTTCAGTACACACAGAGGGTTGGGGAATGGGGATCAACGCTGATTTTTATTCTGATCTCTCTTAAGATTACATAATATTCATTCTCTGGTAAACTTTAAAAATTCTGAATCTTGTTTGAAAAGCATTATATGATGTTAGATCAATAACGTATAAGAGCTGTATTGTAAATTGTGATACTAAAATTGTGCTGTTTTATTGCTGAAATAATATTGTTCAAACGGGATCCTTGCTGTATTAGATATTATAAACAGTTGTCTTCAGCTTGTGTAGATCTTATGTGAGCAAATAATAATCTCTAAACTGTAGAACATCTCTCGTGACAATCATTCAGAGAAGACAATTTTCCAAATTGCCATAAGCCATACTTCAAGTGATGCCGCATATCTTATAAACAGTTCATATGTCATACAGCCGACTATAAATCCCACTCCTATATTCTTCTATATATAAATTCTAGGATATACAAGTTGTGAGTCTCCTTCATTTGTCATTACAAACTTTTCTAAAAGAAAGCTCTGATACTTAAGAATCGCTTAATTAGAAGTGACTTGACCATTAATTGGACAACACTTTATAGACTGCTGTTTTCCGACAACGTGTTTTAGAGCTAGAAGAATGAGTGTGCAATCGGATAATGGGGGGGGGGGGGGGGTATCACTGTCCATTTTGTCCATTTTGTCTTTGTCTTTTTTTTACATTTTTTTGTGAAGGACAGTGTTTTGGGGACAAAATGGACAATACTAGGGACAAAAGGGACAAAAGGGACAAAAATTTTGGACAAATGAGACAAAAAATTAGACAAGCTCAAATGAAGAGAATGTATATATATATTCTACTCGACATCAACAATTTAGATTTTCACGTCAGTGTTTTGCTGTACTTAGACTCAACTGAAACCACTGAAGGGACTTAAATAAGCAGAATTCATCAACGGCATCACATAAATAAATGTGTACACGGTTCAGTCAATATTTCATTAATCCCATTAATCAAGTGGTGATATCAAAAAAGTCATAATCTTTTAATATCATAACACTGTACCCTCTTGCTTTTTGAGTGTTGTTTGCAATGCAAGTTCAGCTCAAACGTCAAATGTGAATCAGTGAGCAGGCATATCGGACTAGACCAAGTTGTCTTGAACAGTGAGTACACTAAGGCTGATATATAACCAAGATTGACTTTACTGTTCTGTCTGAATTTACCCAACTTATTAGCTTGCTGGAACTGTGCCTAAACTTATTTTTTGCATTTCAACGGATAATTGACCTTATTTTCTTTACTGGGGGGGGGGGGGGGTGTCATGTCCGTCTATGTCCGCCTATGTCCTGTCCTTTTTGGATTCTATGAGACAACGGACGTGTTTTTTGGGACATTGGCGGACACGGATGGACATTGGCGGACTCGGACGGACATTGGCGGACTCGGACGGACATTGGCGGACTTGGATGGACATTGGTGGACATTAGCGGACATTGGTGGACATTAGTGGACAAACATTTTGAGGACTGAAGAGTACAGAAGAGTACTGAAGAGTACTGAGGAGGATGGCTGAGAAGGATGGCTGAGGAGGATGACTGAGGAGGATGACTGAGGAGGATGACTGAGGAGGATGACTGAGAGGGAGGAGAAGGATCAGGAAGACCCAGGAGGAGGAGGACCCAGAAGGAGGACCTAGGAGGAGGAGGAGGAGAACTGAGGTGGATGACTGAGGAGGAGGAGGACTCAGGAGGAGGACTGAGGAGGACTGAGAAGGAGGAGGACTGAGGAGGATGGCTGAGGAGGATGGCTGAGGAGGATGACTGAGAGGGAGGAAGAGGAGGAAGAGGAGGAAGAGGACTGAGGAGGGGGAGGAGAAGGACTGAGGAGGAGAAGGAGGACCCAGGAGGAGGAGGACCCAGGAGGAGGAGGACCCAAGAGGAGGACCCAGGAAAAGGCCCCAGGAGGAGGAGGACTGGGGAGGAGGAGAACTGTTGAGGACTGATGAGGAGGACTGAGGACGAGGAGGAGGAGTAGGAGGAGGACTGGGGAGGGGAGGAGGAAGAGGACTGGGGAGGATCAGGAAGACCCAGGAGGCAGGAGGAGGAGGATGGGGGGGGGAGGACGACGTATGATCCGCCTAGGTCCTGTCCTTTTTGGATTCTATGAGACAACGGGACGGTTTTTTGGGAATTGGCGAGACGGTACGAGGACATATGGCGGACTCGGAGGCATGGCGGACTCGGAGGGACTCAAAGGCGGACTTGGATGGACATGGTGGATCATTAGCGGGACATTGGTGGAAATATAAGAGGACAAACATTTTGAGGAGAAGTAGTACGAGGAGACTGATAGAGTACGAGGAGGAGGCTGGGAAGGAATGGCTGAGGAGGATGACTGAGAGTGAGGATGACCAGAGAGGAGGACTGAGAGGAGGAATGAGGAGGAGGATGAAGGAGTCGGAGACCCAGAGGAGAGACCCAGAGGAGGACTGAGGAGGACTGGAGGAGGAAGCTGAGGAGGATGACTGAGGAAGAGGAGGAGGACGGAGGAGGACTGAGTGAGGGGACTGAGAATGAGGAGGACTGAGGAGGAGGGTAGGAGGATGGCTGAGGAGGATGACTGAGAGGGAGGAAGAGGAGGAAGAGGAGGAAGAGGACTGAGGAGGGGGAGGAGAAGGACTGAGGAGGAGAAGGAGGACCCAGGAGGAGGAGGACCCAGGAGGAGGAGGACCCAAGAGGAGGACCCAGGAAAAGGCCCCAGGAGGAGGAGGACTGGGGAGGAGGAGAACTGTTGAGGACTGATGAGGAGGACTGAGGACGAGGAGGAGGAGTAGGAGGAGGACTGGGGAGGGGAGGAGGAAGAGGACTGGGGAGGATCAGGAAGACCCAGGAGGAGGAGGAGGAGGACTGAGGAGGAGGACTGACGATGACTGAGAAGGAGGAGGACTGAGGAGTACTGAGGAGGATGGCTGAGGAGGATGGCTGGGGAGGATGGCTGAGGAGGATGACTGAGGAGGATGACTGAGAGGGAGGAGGAGGAGGACTCAGGAGGAGGACTCATAAGGAAGAGGAGGAGGACTCAGGAGGAGGACTCAGGAGGAGGACTTAGGAGAAATGAGAAGGAGGACTGAGGAGAACTGAGGAGGAGGAGGAGGAGGAGGACTGAATAGGAGGAGAAGGAGGGGGACTGGGAGAGGACTGGGGAGGAGGAGGACTGATGAGAAGGATGAGGAGGGGGACCCAGGAGGAGGAGGACTGAGGACCGAGGAGGAAGAGGAGGAGGATGAAGAGGAGGAGGACCCAGGAGGAGGAGGACTGAGGAGGAGGACTGAGGAGGACTGAGGAGGATGGCTGAGGAGGATGACTGAGAGGGAAGAGGAGGAGGAGGAGGAGGAGGACTCAGGAGGAGGAGGAGGACTGAGGACTGAGGAGGACTGAGAAGGAGGAGGAGGAGGAGGACTGAATAGGAGGAGGAGGAGGGGGACTGGGGGAGGACTGAGGAGGAGGACTGAGGAGGACTGAGGACTGAGGAGGAAGAGGAGGAGGATGAAGAGGAGGAGGAGGACCCAGGAGGAGGACCCAGGAGGAGGACTCAGGAGGAGGAGGAGGACCCAGGAGGAGAAGGACTGTTGAGGACTGATGAGGAGGACTGAGGACGAGGGAGGAGTAGGAGGAGGACTGAGGAGGGGAGGAGGAAGAGGACTGAGGAAGATCAGGAAGACCCAGGGGGAGGAGGAGGAAGAGTAGGAGGAGGAAGCATCTAAATGTTATTTCCATTTTTGTCCGTTTTTTGTCCATTTTTGTCCGCTCTATTTTTTGTCCGTTTTGAAAATATAGGGTACCGAACGGACAAAAAACATGATCCCCCCTATAACAGCAAAAATTTAACATTTTATTTAGTAATTTAGGTGTCCATTAATGTCCGCCTATGTCCGCCTATGTCCGTCTATGTCCGCCTATGTCCGTCTATGTCCGCCTATGTCCGCCTATGTCCTGTCCTTTTTGGATTCTATGAGACAAGCGGACATAGACGGACGTGACACCCCCCCCCCCCCCCCCCCCCCCCCCCTTTGCTGTCCATTTTGTCCCTGTCTATTTGTTTCGTTTGTTCCTGTCCTTTTTGTCCATTTTGTCCATTTTGTCCATTTTGTCCCTGTCTTTTTGTCCATTTTGTCCTTTTTGCCCCGTCTTTTTTGTCTTTTTTATCCCTATTATCTTTTTTTGTCCCTTTTGTCCCTCTTGTCTCTTTTGTCCCCCCCCCCCCCCCCCCCCCCCCCCCCGATAATCGAAATATTAAGCTAAAATTTACATTATGAAAAATTATAATAACCTCATTTCTAACATACCTGTTTGTGTTCAAACTCCAGACGAGTGTGAACTTTGTCAACTGTTGGGATCTTCACCCGTATGTCACATGTTGACTCACTGAAAAGTTTTGTTTAGGTAAAGTCAGTAGATTTCTATTACATTGAAAAATTAGGAATGGTTAGTGCAACAGATAACTATTGTATAAACTCTGTGTGAACCCCCAAAGAAAAAAATTACAGGTTTGGATTTGTTACTCACGTTCCAAAAGTAATTTCTTTCTGATTTACAGGGTATTTTGTTCCATCTGCTCCACCCCTCTTTATTATCCTTATCGTGTGTTCCGTCATCTCTTTTAAACCATAAGTGTACCTTTCTAAACAAAGTAGTTGTGAGTGTAATTATACTTATTATAATACATCTTCTAGTCCTAATATGAGCCTTGTCTTTAAAAACCTAACTGAACTAGCGTTTCGGTGTGTGCAAAAGCTTTTAAGCACGCGCATTCCTTGCCCCGTTAGTTACCTGTCCTTCCAAACCCAAACTAGCAGTCAAGGACAAAAAGTCATACACCAAATGGGCATTATATTTTATGAATTGTTTTACATCTTTTTATTCTGTAAAATGTGCTAAAATTAAATTTCTTGTTTCATTGACATCTAGAAGTAATCAGTAAACAATCATAGAATTTATCTACAGCAATTGACATGATACCAATCATATCTTAGTTAATGCAACCAAACATATAAACAATATGGTAGGGGGAACCTCATAAATATACATAAATACCTATTTTGAAATCGGAGGGTAAATAGGTATTTATTATTCACACTACAATGTAGATGTAGATGTACTGAACATGAAGGGATATCCTGAGAAAGTTTTTGATCTTTTGGAATTTAACCATTAATCACGGTTAATTACAGACGTGTAATGTGCATAGATTTAATTTACAGACTCTAAGTTTATGTCTAAATCTGATATTTTCACTGCACTACTACTTTATCGGTCAAATCTTACTCTTCTTCTGATACCATATATTTGACCTGATTTTCTGAACAGTTTATCAGCTAGCTTCTCAAAGTAGGTATTGCTCCTCTTTCCATTCCATGCATCAGTTTTTAATAGGACTATTGGTGCAATTGGTCGAGTCCATGTTCCACTTCAATGATCCTTTTGTTTTGTGCATTTCTTTCAAGGGGCATACATGAGGTCCCAAATTGTAGGCCGATCCCACGAAAATGTCTTCTTGTAAAAATTATTCAGCATTTTCTAAAGAATGAGATCCTAGCATAAGACATGGCTTGTAGTCTAGAATTGTTGTTGAACTAAAACATAATAACGGATGTGATCTGTTTTATCAACGAAATTGACTCATAAATAGGAAACCAGTGTATTTTACAGGACACTGCTGAAATACCTTTACAACATTCACTATGTTTTGGCAGGACACCCCCTCAATGAATTTTCAAATATGGCTCCAGTACAAGCCAATATGTGTCTGTGCGTACTGCGTGACGCGCTTGTAGCGGCGGTCGCGCTACTGCAAGCAAGAGGGCTCTGGTTAGAGTTTGGACTTTGGTCATTGTCTTCTCGTACATGAGCCGTATAAGGTGTACGATTTTGACTGGAATACCGTAAGCTTCTAGAATCTTGAGCATTTTCCCACGATGTACACTGTCGAAAGCCTTCTTAAAGTCTATAAATGTCAGAACAGCTGGCAGTTTCTGACTCTTGACACCCTCTATAAGACGTCTCAGTACCAATATCTGCTGAAGAGAGTGAAAAAGTCACGTGACAGTCGAGTGTAGAGTGATTAATCATCATCCGTGAAGGATTGACATCAACAACACTCAATTTGCAATCAAACTTGGGGAAAAAGTATGCAAAGTTGGGGGGGGGGGGGGGGGGGGGGGGGGCAACCATATTAAAGTATATTAAAATGTAGGATTTTTCCCGATTTTGACCCGGGCCCGGGGATATACTTTAATATACTTTAATATACCTACAATATACTTTAATATATCCCTATCTCCTTGGAGGCCTACATCAAAAATTGTTGCTCAAAATAAGCTTGAAATGCAATTCTAAATCGATTCCAAAAAGTTCTTGAAAAAATATTGAAAACTGATGGAGTTATTTCAATTTTAATGAAGTCATTTTGGCTAGTATTCCGAACCGAGATATTATGTGCAATTTTCCCAATTTTGTTCATGGAGGTCTTTTTACTTAGTATCCACTGTATTCAACAAACACTGAGTTATATCTGGGGGGGGGGGGGGGCCGGGGGCCAACCATATTAAAGTATATTAAAATGTAGGATTTTTCCCGATTTTGACCCGGGGATATACTTTAATATACTTTAATATGGTTGCCCCCCCCCCCCCCCCCCCCCACAGGGGCAATCTAATAGGGCATTATGACTTTTGGGTTTTTTGCCTTTTTATGCCTCTGGCCACATCTTGGTGGTGTCAATTTGGGTTAAATCGTCAATTATGACTTATTTCAGTGAAATAGGACAACTTTCACTACTTTTTTGGGCAAAAAAATCATTTTTTTTGAAAATTTGGCACTTTCTGTCACACAAAAAGCATCTTTTTTGACTAGCAATTTTAAGATTTCATCGAATTTTAAGCGGTTTCTGTCCCATTTTTCTGCTTTTTCGTATGGAAATGGTCATCAATCATGCTGATGTGATTGTAAATAATGATATTTCAGAAAGGAGAACCAGAAAAACTATGCAATATGACCAAAACATAAGAAAAATCCTATGAAATCAGAGTTGCCCCTGGATTTTCCGAGCTCAAATTGCCAGATTTTGGCTATTTTTGGCTCATCCGCATTATTTTTCCATCCAAATATTGCTTATTCCTATTGAACTTTGCTGGTATTAGCATAAAAGATCGAAGTGTGCCCCAAAAAGCTATGAAATAAATGAAAAATATCAGTTTTTAGTCTATCAGTGAGCTTTTTAAGTGAGCAAAATAGCGTGAGGCTGGGCTCGAAAAAATTTTTTTTTCTCCAATATAACAATATTGATAGAAATATTAAAACCTTGTCTAATAATTTTTTATCAGAGCGTGTTATCAGCTTTTGGAATAAATTGCCATCTTTTGTTAGAAATTCAGTGTCTGTTATTGATTTTAAAATTAATCTAGAAGAATTTAAAAAGACTAATAATTTAGTAGACACAGGCAACTTTTGGGAAGTGTCAAATATAGTTTTAGCAAAAATAGAGGGTGTAAATTATATCGAAAAGAAGAAGCAACAAGTCCAATATTTATATAAAAATCCTCGTGTTGCCAAGAGAAAGGGAATAAATATCTCATGAATTTGTTTTTATTTATTTATTTTAAATTAACGGTTTTTAACTTTTTAAACTTTTTTATATGTAAATAAATTATGACAATTATGTTATTTATAGAATTTGTTTGTTTTTTAATGACGAAGGCTGTGAAATGTTCACAGTTCTGATAATGAGGAAATCAGAAAGAATGTTTAAAACTAGTGATGATGTTTATGTCATTATTCTTAATCTAATCTAATCTAATCCAAAAGTCTGAATTGTTCTGAAGCAAATCGATTATTTTGTGTTTATAGACATTCTGAGGTATCATTTAAAGTATAGTTGATATGGGGCATATAGAGGCATAACTTTTCCAGCAGCCTGACATCAGAGCAAATGACAATTTTACCTTCGAAATTTGGCAAATTTATCAACATTATCCCTAAAAGTTCACAAAATCTCGATTTTTTGCCAAAAGGATCTCAATTTTGCTTAAATTGACTACCAACGAGCTTGACATTACTAGGAAAACTCATGTGGGACTATCCCAATAGTGTTAATATAAAAATACGATGTTAAGATATCTTGCCTGGACATGCACATTCAGAATATTTTTCACTGCCAAATCTATAAATATCCCAGCGCCTGACTTTACAGGGCTGTAACTTTGCTCAGGAATGAGATAGAATCAAAAATCAAAATCTGAGCTCAGAAACAACCTGGCTATTAGATTAAACTAGTTTAAAGTGATTTTGGAGACATGACTTTTTTTTGCTTAATGTCAGCATGGAGCCCCACTGTGCCCCCCCTATCTTTTACATTTTTTTTAATCAATAAACTTTCAAATTGTTACACAAATACATCATTTTATTTCAAAGAAAAATATCGCCGAATGACCTTACATGCCTTGACAAGTGACCGAGTGTAAACAAAATAAGGGACACCGAAACACCAGTTGACCAGTAAACTGATCATAGCAATTACATCGGGCCCTAAATGCACCTATAAGTGAAGCGATGCTGCAACCAAGGCATGCTAGGTTTATTCCATTGAACTAATAAGGTTACAGCCTAAAATATAAATATAATAAATAACAATGTACCATAAATCATAATTATAAACACACTTTATTTAACATATTTTATTAATTATACTTCATATCAATTTATATTTAGACAATATAGTTACATTAAGGTAAATTGTTTAACTGTCAGAGGATGTTATATGGTCGTTTAGAACTGTCCAGAGGTACTTAATTAAATGGGTTTTAAACACGGATGGCCTTGAGATTTCCCTTAATTCATAAGGGAGTTTATTCCAAAGAATGTGTGCTCTGTTAAAGTAAGACTTAGATATGCCTGAACATCTGGTCTGGCTTGACGTAAGGTTTTGTGGAACTTGAGGAGAAATGTCACTAATCATACTGAGATCGTCTAGATGTGATCGCCTTAACCTACTTCCCATGAAACGTCGTAAGTAAGGTGGAAATGTCACAACTGACATGTCATAAAAAATATTATGAAAATATAATATATCCTTGTAATCAAACCTTACCGAGAGTGGAAGGATATTTAGTTCCTTACACGCTATGAAATACCTTTTTTTGTCCCTAAGGCTCAAGTAAATATCATTAAGGATCCACTTGATACCTCTTTTTTGTATCGATTCAAGAGTTAGTCTCATTAAAAAGTATTGAAATTTCATCGAATTAGGGTAAAAGCGAATTTGGGCAAAAGCGTATGCCCAAATATGGGTATATTTTTTAAAGCTCATATGTCATAGCTCAGCCAATTTTTGACCAATCTGGATGGAAATTCATGTACTCGTCCTAAAACAGGCTTATCTTGCGAATCTGAGTGAAAAATATAGTTCATCATGTAAATCTTAACGAAGAATATAAATCTTCTAATTGTAGGTATATTAAAGTATATTAAAATGTAGGATTTTTTCCGATTTTGACCCGGGGATATACTTTAATATACTTTAATATGGTTGGCGCGCATCCTGGTAGGTTGTAAACCTACAATGCCACAAGGTGATTGCATCTGGGGAACTTATTGAATTGCTTTGTGTTAGAATTTTGATTAGTTGATTTCATTTC